TTGTGAGAACAAGTAAACAAAGTTTGCGAATTTTCACCAGCGTTCCTTTGATAATTATAGATATGCTAATGTTTATAATTACCTTAAGGTAGAGAAGATTTCTCCCCATGTGTGATCCAGGGAATAAAATCACACCCGGAGAATGGACCTCAACAGTATCCATGTTGATCAGTATCGCACAATAGTAGGGGGCCTAAATGATAGATGTTGACTACTATAGCACAATAGTAGGGGGTCTAAATTATAAAGGTTGACTATTATAGCGCAATAGCAGGGGGCCTAAATAATATATGATGACTAGAATAGCACAATAGTAGGGGGCCTAAATGATAAATGTCGACTAGTATAGCACAGTAGTAAGGGGCCTAAATGATATATGATGACTGGAATAGCACAATAGTAGGGGGCCTAAATGATAAATCTTGTCAAATATTTAGTAAACACGACAAAGACAAAATTAAAACCGTATTAATACTTGCAACATGTATACTATACTAGGGAAAAGAACAACCTCATGTTATATGAAAACTTTTCCCCCCATGTAACATGTGTGCTTATTATTTGCGTTTTTTCCTCCAATGTGGTATACATGTCGCAAAGTGTAAACGCCGTGTAAAATGTTTTTTGCAATCACATTTATTTTAATTACATTTAATGAAACATTCTATAATTTTCACGGTGTGCTCCATTTTGTAGTTCTGTATATTTTCTTCAGGAAATTAGGCCGCCCAAGGAAATCCTGTAGGAGGACAATAGAAGATGAGGCAAGGGCTGCCGGGATGACGTGGGCTCAAATAAAGAGAGACGCTCAACCCCGAGTCCAATGGAGAGGTACGACTGTAGCCCTTTGCTCCCCCACAAAGGAATAAATCAAGTGAGTGAGTGATACTTCACGCAACCATCGCCGCTGTAATATGTATTAGGAGATTTACTGTGATGGGGATGCTGTATCTGAGAGATTGGATTATCGCTTCATGGAGTTTGTAACAATCTCTTCATTGGAGAGAAAAGGTCAGGACAAAAGAGGTGAATAGGAGAGATTGGAAAAATACTTACCGAATACCATAACGATAACATACTTACAGTTAAACGCAAGCAATATAATTCTCACATTTATATAAAAAAAAACAATACCATACTTATATAACAAAACAATAAGGCACTAATTTTACACTTGCATCAGAACCATACAATACTTACAGCGATATCAAGGACCTCTCTATTGGCGGCAAATATTTCATAGTTGGTCATCTCGCTCCTTAAGATCTCCAGACTATGGTCCTTCACCTCTTGTAGCATGATCACATCCGGGTTATTTCTAAATATAGCAATAATAAAGACAGTGAGCACAGTGAATGTGACAAAAATGTCACAAAGGCTACTTAAGAAGAATAAGTAAAAAGTAAAGTAAAGTTTCCTTTTCAAACCTGACGGTCTATGGGGCAAGTGAAGTAGAGTTCACTTGTTTCTGTGACCTCGGCATATGAAGAGACAGTGTGGTCAGCACTATGCCCAGCCGCCTTTACTTTCCCTAATAATAAGTTTAGTAAATAATTGTGGCAAAGTTAAGGGGGGTACATTTTTTTTGGGGGGGGGGGGGGCTTACACCTCCCAATTTTTCCTACATAAATATAAATAATTGAGTATGATTAAATTGAAAGGCGACGCCTTTAAATATACTTCATTGAAGTTGTAGGGGAGGGGGGGGGGGGTGGAATAATTTTTTTACTGTAGTAATATTTGACATGCGCCTTTAGTTCGTAAGGTCAGATCGTCTTCCTTCTCCTCTTTCTCCTCATCTTCTTCCTCATCCTTATCTTTATCATCGCTTTCAGCCTGCGAAGAGTCGGTCATGCGAAGAGACTCCAGTCCAGCTATATTCCATGATACAATTTTTATATCCCCTTCTTCCCTGTAAAAGGAATTTAAAAAAAAACAAACAAACAAATAAAACGAACGACAGAGTATCATGTTTACATAAAAAAATCGAATTATCTGAGACAATTTACCGTAAACCAGTGTCATAGACAAGTATTTGTCATTGGATGGGGTGTTATAAGAATGATTCCAAACACACACACGCACGCACATACCACACGCAAATACACGTACACAAAAACACACACACTCACACATATCCTTACATACTTACACGCGCACGCACACTTTACACATACATAACTCGCCAGCGCACTAAAAAAACACCAGCTCATAAGCTGACTTGATTGTTTACATTTTTTTGGGGGGCTGGAAGGGCTTCTGAAGAAAACATTGTTATCGTACTTACTCCTGTATCTCTGGTTGGGGTGGAACGTCTGGTTGAGCTATGGAAACTAAAAATTGTCTAGTCTGACTAGTATTCTGCTGATCACCCAGTGGACCTCTAGAACTAGTCTGACCATCGTGTTGACCTCTGGGACTAGCCTGACCATCCACTTGACCTCTAGAACTATCCTGACCATCCAGTTGACCTCTAGATCTAGCCTGACCATCATATTGTTGAACTCTAGGACTAGCCTGACCATCCACTTGACATCTAGAACTAGCCTGACCATCATCCAGTTGACCTCTAGAGCTAGCCTGATCATCCACTTGACCTCTAGAACTATCCTGACCATCATCCAGTTGACCTCTAGAGCTAGCCTGACCATCCAGTTGACCTCTAGAACTAGCCTGACCATCATCCAGTTGACCTCTAGAACTATCCTGACCATCCAGTTGACCTCTAGAACTAGCCTGACCATCCAGTTGATCGCTGGAACTAGTCTGATCATCCAGTTGACCTCTAGAACTATCCTGACCATCCAGTTGACCTCCAGAACTATCCTGACCATCCAGTTGACCGCTGGAACTAGTCTGACCACCATCCAGTTGACCTCTAGAACTAGCCTGACCATCCAGTTGACCTCTAGAACTAGCCTGACCATCCAGTTGACCTTTAGAACTAGCCTGACCATCCAGTTGACCTCTAGAACTAGCCTGACCATCCAGTTGACCTCTAGAACTAGCCTGACCATCCAGTTGACCTTTAGAACTAGCCTGACCATCCACTTGACCTCTAGAACTATCCTGACCATCCAGTTGACCTCTAGAACTATCCTGACCATCCAGTTGACCTCTAGAACTAGCCTGACCATCCTGTTGACTAGCCTGACCATTATCATGTAAACTCCTGAAACGAAACAAAAGTCTAGTCAATTCGATAGTTGGTTGTTTTTACTTTTTGGTATAATATTAGTATAGAGGAAGCATTGTAATCGTGCTGAATAATTATCAGATATTTTGGCAATTTTCGCCGGTTTAAATCTATCGACATTATCGTATACGGAATATAAAGGGTCTATCGTAATCGTGCAAAAATCTTTATCATGTCTTTGACAAACTTTGGCGTTATACACTCTTCCGTTAACGGAAAACACTTATTTTGCAAACCTGTCTGTCTTTCTGTGTGCATTTTATCAATAAAACTTGAGCACCAGTTCATTTGGATAGGCACAATTCCATTTATAAGTTTAAGAAAGTATATTTTGTTTACTCTCATTATTTGAGTGACCTCCGATAAAGTGGTACTTCATTCTATTTCCGGTTTTTAAATTGACATTGAGTATCGTTACAGATAGGTGGATGAAATTTCAAACAATCATAATTAGATCATTTTTTTTGCAATGTCCTCTATGATCAAACTTCATAAAGATGTTTGATTTAATCACATCAAAGATTTTTGAAAAAAAAAAATTATCAATTTTCTTTATATATATATATATATATATATCGCCCCTATATATTAAAATCCAATTATTATAAACCTCTTATCAATTCAGAAATCACATAAATATTTACATGTTACTTTAATATGAAGATAGTGGTGCAATATTGACTGCCAGTATTTTGTTTTTTTTGTTTGCTTTTTCATTCTGTTAAGTTCAATAAGAAAGTAAACCAAATACAAAATGTTCTAAATAGACACAATTAAAAAATATGATTAAATTTCTCAGGTCTACCTCCACGAGACAGCTGCTCCGTGTCGTAGAACTCTAAAACTGGCCAACAGACCCCAGTGGTCACTGATAAATCTATGACAAGATGGCAGCCGGTTGGTGCCGATAAACCTGAAAGTCAACGGCTCTACGGCCGGGGTGGCGCTGTGTCTGATGTACATCCGGTCAAACCGTTTGCGGGGCTGGTTGCCTGATGGAAACCGGATGTTGTCGTTGTACCTTAGGTCCCAGGTGTATTTAGTTTCCGGTCTGCTGCCTGTAGCCTCCCAGAGGTCAACGACTTCAGGGGGGACGGTGGTATCTCCTCCGATCTGAAAGTAGCAGTCCAGCAAATTTTGAGTCCAAGTCCATATATATATATATATATATATATATATATATATATATATATATATATATATATATATATATATATATATAATGCAAAGTTTTTCCAACTAAGGGAGGTGTAAAACGTCGAGATTTGTGAAAACCCGAGTTGGATTTTTTGCACGATTACAAAAACTTCCTCTATACTTCGTATACGAGAAAGTAAAAAGCTAACAGGTTATACAACTTATTAATTAAAAATTAGAACCAACGTTAAAAGATGATGCAAACTCTAAATAATATAAATAAAAACGGCAAAACTAAACAGACTAAACAAAATCAAACACTAAGCAAATATACTACTAATCAAACCAACACTTAATAAACAACCAAGCATTCACAACACCCTGCCAAGTTGTAAATGCAACCTCAGACACGACCTACTACACTCTAGACTCGGGTGAAAAAAAAGCAACGACCCTAGCAATCACTCGGCCTTATACACAGCTCTGCCGGAAGTCCCGTAGCCGCTGTTCAGTTAAACGTTCGCACACAGATCCGCACACAATAAAAATTTAATAATAAAACAAATAAACCATTCACCGGCTCACATTAATTCCCATTTCAGGTCCCCACTAAATAAGACTATTAGGATCACTTACTTCCCAATCCCTGACATTTAGGATCACTTACTTCCCAATCCCTGACATTAAGGTCCCCACCAAACACAACCGTCTCATCAGGCGCCGTGTTGGTCATCTCACGGAAGGCGGTTCTAATTTGGTACTTTCTCTCATCACTGCAGGGGAGCTGACTCTCCATGTGACTGGTCATCACTGTCATGGGGACACCCCGGACTCTGCCCTGAATACAGACGTGAGAGGGTTATTTCTACACCTCTGAGCACTGCCCTGAATTACAGATATTTGACAGTTATTTTCACACACCGAACGTTTCCCTCAATGCAGATATCTGAGAGTCATTGCTACATCCCCGAGCTCTTCATGCAATGACACATGTTTAAAATTAATATCTCCTCCTGTCAGGTAATACATATAGGAAAACAAACAAAACCCTTCACAGTGAAGACGGGAGTAATACAGGGATGTATGCTATCGCCAATGATATTCTTTATGGTTATCAATTGGAGCATGCTGCAAACTACAAAAAATGACAAGAATCTAGTGGATTTTCACCAAAAGACTGGAAGATCTCGATTTTGCCGATGACATCTGCCTACTATCTCATAAGCACCAACATACACAAGCCAAACTAAATCGGCTATCCGAAGAAGCCTCCAAAGTTGGACTAAAATTCAATGAAATTAAGAGGTAATTAGAATCAATAACAGCCAGGACCTGCGGAATGGAGGAGATATACGAGAAACATTCATAAATATTCACGTATCTGGGAAGTGATATCAATAAGGACGGGGGAACAGACGAGACATTAAAATGTCGTATAAACAAGGCTAGATGTGCCTTTAACTCTCTGCGCCCGATATGGGAGTGCACAGCCCTGTCACTCAGGAGCAAGATAAAATTTTTCGATACAAACGTCAAGACAGTATTGCTCTATGGCTCGGAGACTTGGAGGGTTACAAAGGCAAATACAGATAGGCTACAGTCGTTTACAAATAAATGCTTACGACATACACCTAAAATAAGATGGCCAGACAAAATATCAAACAAAGACCTTTGGCAAAATACAAAACAGCAGCCAATAGAGAAGGATATAAAGGCCCGTAAATGGGGATGGATTGGTCGCACTTTAAGAAGGAAATATTGCAAAAAATGTTGTGGACTGGAATCCCCAGGAACAAAGGAAAGTGGGTCGGTCTAAGTGATCGTGGAAAAGAACGGTTGAGGAAGAGGCAAAGACCGCTGGGCCCACGTTGGCACAGATAAAGGGAGCTGCTCAAAACCGAGTCCGCTGGAAAAGGGTAACTGTAGCCCTCTGCTCCCCAGGGGCTACAGAGAAAAATGATGATGATGATAATAAAACAACTTGAATAGTACTCTGGCAGAATCGTTACGGGCTTGGGTATACATTGAATAGAGACACTTGGTTGTTCAGTCTATTAATTTTGTTTGTAAAAATTAAACTTTTCTAATAAGTAGAATTGATAATGCTAATGTATGCTAAAAATGAAAACATGCGAATGTGTATAGTTACCTTAAAGTACAGCAGATTTCTCCTTTGGGTACTAGTAGGGAATACAACTACACCCGGCATGTGGACTTCTACTGTTTCCTTATTGACCAGTATAGCTGTGTAGTAGCCACTCGGTATTGTTGGAGGAAAGTGGATTCCTACCATCTAAGCAGAACAATTATTTGGAATAGAATCTTCAAGTCGGAAAAAGCTTATGTTAGTTACGAAGCAACCTTTATTGTAAAGAATAATATACAAACATTTAATACAAAAACAATACTTACTATGTACATATGCTGTTAATAAAACAGCAGCACTCTTACAATAATTTAAAAATCATTGAATGTGTATATGTTTATACGACTGGAGTACCATACCTACATTTACATCTAACCATTGACTTCACTAGTCCTCTTTGCTCATTGTGGAACATAGGGCCTCCACCATATCCTTCCGTTTAGTGCGATCCCCTGTTATTAATTTTGCAAACTCCCTAGACATCCCTGTTGGCTTCAGTTCTTCGAGAAGACTCCGCCTCCAGGTCTGTCTTGGGCGCGCTCTTTTCCGCTTCCCCTGGGGGTTCTACTCAAGTGCCTGGCGTGTCATATTTGGGCGAGCCTTTCGCAGTGTGTGCCCCACCCAGCGCCACTTCCTCCTTCTTATTTGTACTATCATAGGCTCCTGCTTTGTCTGTCTATATAATTCTATATTCGGCACTTTGTCCGGCTACCCCAATTTCAAAATCTAAGACATTTGTTCATGAAGGTCTGTATCTTCTCTGTGCTTGCCTTGGAGACTCTCCCATGCCTCTGATCCATATAGCAAAACTGCATTGACATTTAAATTTAGCATCCTAATTTTTGATGTGTTGGAGATGGCAGAATTTTTCCAAATGGGTCGCAGAACTGTCAAAGCGCAGCGGGCTCTATCAATTCTAGCACGTATGTCCTCCTCTTTGAATCACGTTTTTGCTGATCTTACTGCCAAGGTAGATGAACTCTTCCACATCATTTGCTATTCTTTCGTCTATTGTTACTGGGGTCTCCTAGTTATTCTTTATTCTTATTACTTGTCTTTTCTTTTGTAAATTTGCTGAATTATTTCCTCTAACTGAGCGGGTACACCATAGTGTCTCAACAGATTCCATATTGTTTGCCTATCCACACTATCAAAGGCCTTCTCAAAGTCAACAAAGCAGATGTAAAGTGTGGCTTGCCATACTATCGTCTGTTCTACAATGATTCTAAGAGTGGCTATCTGATCTGTACAAGATCTTTCCTTCCTGAATCCTGCTTGTTCCTCTCTTAGCTTAAGGTCAATTGACTCATCCGTTCTCTCCAAAATGTCTCTGGTAAGGACTTTACTTAGGATGGACAACAAGGTAATACCCCTCCATTTTCCACACTAGGATAAGTCACCGTTCTTTGGAAACTTCACAAGAATTCCCCTCTTTTAGTCGGTTGGGATCCGTCCTGTGTTCCAGACTACGTTAAGTAATTTATGAAGTCGATTTACTACTTCTTCTCCACCTTGCTTTAATGCCTCTGCTGGGATATTATCTGGTCCTGATGCCTTGCTGCTCTTCACATATTTAAGACGTTGAGAAATTCATGTCTGGTGATTTCCCCGATATTGATGTTAAGGGGTTCCCCTGGCTCCAGGTCTGGTGGATCTTGAGGTGCTGGGCCGTTTAGTATTTCATGGAAGTGCTTTCTCCATCGTTCCAATTGTTCTTCAATTGACGTTAGAAGTTTACCATTTTTGTTCCTCACCGGCCTGTTGGGATTGGTTTTCCTCTGGTTGTTGCATAGAGTGTCTTGAGATCTCCCTTACTGGCAGCTGTTTCGGCCTACTCTTCCACTTCTTTTATAAACAATCTCTTGTTATTTCTTAGTTTCCTTTTCACCTGTTTCGAGAGGCTGCTGCTTGTTTCTGCTGTCGTGTTTAACTTGATTTAGTTCGCTCTTTATGCTCTTTCTTTCTTCTACGTTCTACCATGTATCTTCTGTGATCCCGGGCTTCCTGTTGGGCGCTTTTCTTCCTAGAGCCTCTTCGCAGACTTCGATAGTGGCTTGCTTAAATATTTCCCAGTTTTTTAATTCCACCATTACCACACCATACATACATTTTCACTAAAAAAAATTACAAAACTTCCCTTTTCACCTCAAGATTCACCTGAATATTTCGTTACTTACATTTTCACCACAACAATACCATACATACATTTTCTCCAAAAATGGTGCAACAATTACTGTTACACCAACACAATAAAATACTTATATTTAAACCAAAACCATACACTACTTACAGTTATACCAACATGCTCTCCAGTGCCCACAAATATTTCATAATTGGTCATCTCTTTCCTTAGGATGTCCAGACTTTGATCAATCACCTCTTGTAGCAAGATCACATCCGGGTTAGTTCTACACAAATATATTTATTGTAAGTCATAGTTGCCAATAGCAACGTTTTATAAACTATGTAACTATGTAACTAGTTATTCTAACCGTAACAGTATCTGACAAGCTCCTTTAGTTCGTAGGGTTAGATCATCTTCATAATCATCATCAGATTCATCATCGTCATCCTCATCTTCGTTACTATCATCACTCTCATCGTCGTCATCATCGCTACCATCACTTAAACTGGAATCGGACGACATACAATCGTCTAGACCTGCTATGTTCCATGATGCAATTTGTATCTGCTCTGAACGACTGTGAAAAAAAACCCCAAAGAAATGAGTAATGAAATGTTTGGGTAGGAAATTCCCCCCCTCCCCCCCCCCCCAATATTTCGACACAGGATAAGTAAATAACGGATCATACACAATAACCTGTGTTCATGCACTCAAGGGTCACAGTTTACTGAACTAATAGTATCAGTGAAATATTTATTCTAATACCAGGTTACCTTTTAATGGGGAATTATTTTTTTGTTTCCATAGAACAGCATGTAGGTCTGACACCACCTTATGGACACACACATATTCTAAAATCTACGCAAACCTACTCCTCTATACTCTAAAACCTACTTAAACCTACTCCTGTATATTCTAAAATCTACTCAAACCTACTCCTGCATACTCTAAAATCTACTCAAACCTACTCCTGTATATTCTAAAATCTACTCAAATCTACTCCTGTATATTTTAAAATCTACTGAAACCTGCTCCGGTATATTTTAAAATCTACTCAAACCTACCCCTGTTTATTTTAAAATCTACTCAAACCTACTCCTGTATATTCTAAAATCTACTCAAACCTACCCCTGTTTATTTTAAAATCTACTCAAACCTACTCCTGTATATTCTAAAATCTACTCAAACCTACCCCTGTTTATTTTAAAATCTACTCAAACCTACTCCTGTATATTCTAAAATCTACTCAAACCTACCCCTGTATATTCTAAAATCTACTCAAACCTACTCCTGTATATTCTAAAATCTACTCAAACCTACCCCTATATATTCTAAAATCTACTTAAACCTACATCTGTATATGCTAAAATCTACTTAAACCTACTCCTGTATATTCTAAAATCTACTCAAACCTACCCCTGTATATTCTAAAATCTACTCAAACCTACCCCTGTATATTCTAAAATCTACTCAAACCTACCCCTGTATATTCTAAAATCTACTTAAACCTACTCCTGTATATTCTAAAATCTACTCAAACCTACCCCAGTATATTCTAAAATCTACTCAAACCTACCCCTGTATATTCTAAAATCTACTCAAACCTACTCCTGTATATTTTAAAATCTACTCAAACCTACCCCTGTATATTCTAAAATCTATTCATACCTACTCCTGTATATTCTAAAATCTACTTAAACCTACCCCTGTATATTCTAAAATCTACTCAAACCTACCCCTGTATATTCTAAAATCTACTTAAACCTACTCCTGTATATTCTAAAATCTACTCAAACCTACCCCAGTATATTCTAAAATCTACTCAAACCTACCCCTGTATATTCTAAAATCTACTCAAACCTACTCCTGTATATTTTAAAATCTACTCAAACCTACCCCTGTATATTCTAAAATCTATTCATACCTACTCCTGTATATTCTAAAATCTACTTAAACCTACCCCTGTATATTCTAAAATCTACTCAAACCTACCCCTGTATATTCTAAAATCTACTTAAACCTACTCCTGTATATTCTAAAATCTACTCAAACCTACCCCAGTATATTCTAAAATCTACTCAAACCTACCCCTGTATATTCTAAAATCTACTCAAACCTACTCCTGTATATTTTAAAATCTACTCAAACCTACCCCTGTATATTCTAAAATCTATTCATACCTACTCCTGTATATTCTAAAATCTACTTAAACCTACTCCTGTATATTCTAAAATCTACTCAAACCTACTCCTGTATATTCTAAAATCTACTCAAACCTACTCATGTATCTGAGCTGGAACCCCGGCATCAAGCTGACCTCTGGGTCCAGCCTGACCACTCTCCTGTTGATCTCTGGAACTAGTCGGACCATCCTCTTGTGGACTTACGGAAATACCAGCATGTCCAACTTGACCTATGGAAACAACAAACGGCCTAGCCTGACCACCCTCCTGTTGACCGCTTGGACTAGCCTGACCACCATCTTGTGTAAGCCTGTAACCAAAGTAAGGCCTAGTCAATTTCATGTTTAGGTTTTTAAAACGCATTTTTAAATTATTTTTTTACTTTTACCAATTAACTTTATTTCTCCAAATACTTGAAATTACATTTGATCTCTGATTGAATATTAAATGCAATTACATCACGAAGCAGTCGCAAAATCAAATGGTCAAAACAATATGCAATGAATGGAAACTAAATGGAAGCAAGCAACGAAACGCCCATCCCCTTCGCTTCATCTATCTAGTGAAAATGTTTTTTAGAAAAACTTCTTTGCAGTGGATTTAACTTCATCAAGGTACATAATTTATTTAAATTAAATTAATCTTTAAAAATAATTGTCAACTTTTAACATTCATATTTTAAAATAATTCATTTACCTCTGGTCGATTCAGAAATAACGAAATATTTTCACATTAAAATTGTACGAAGACTGGTGTAGTATTGAATTCTAGTATCTGTTATTTTTTATTTGATTTTTTTTCGGTTAGTTTCGTTCAGTACATGCACGAATGTTACTCACGCATCATGACTAACCCACATGTCTTTATAAGAATGTAAATAAAAAGCTATATCAAAAACACAATTTTATGAGTAGATATTATAATATAAATTGTTTCGTTTTTCCAAATTCTACCTCCACGGGGCAGCTGATCCGTGTCGTAGAACTCTAAAGCTGGCCAACAGACCCCAGTGGTCACTGGCAAATCTCTGACAAGATGGCAGCCGGTTGGTGCCGATAAACCTGAAATACAACGGCTCTAGTGCAGGGGTGGCGCTGTGTCTGACGTACATCCGGTCAAATCGTCTACGAGGCTGATTACCAGTTGGAAACCGGATGTTGTCGTTGATTGTTAAATCCCAAGAGTATTGTGTTTCCGGTCTGCTGCCAGTAGCCTCCCAGAGGTCAAGAACTCCTGGAGGGACACTGGTATCACCTCCAATCTGTCAGTAACAGTCAAACACTAAGTTAATGAATAGTCAACTCCATTTGCCTCAATTGTTTAAAATTGGTTACCACCCACCCTGTTTATTAAAATAAAAAGTATGTTTTTATTGCCTGACGTAGACGACTATTTTCTTCCCATTACCTAACTTTAAGATCCCCACTACTTAAGACTATGAGGTCAGTTACTACCTGTCATAGACTGTATTATTGGGTCATGTATTTTTCCATGCTTTTGTGAGATCGCTCATTGACGTAAGGGGAGAGAAAGTTGTGTATAAAAGGTGGAGCGCAAAGTGAACGAAGGGTGCTTGCCTGTGACTATGTAGTAAGATGTAAGATATCACCACGTCAGTTTGTTCTAGACTATAATGTAATAGTCATTTTTCTACTATGGATTATTGGATTTATTTCTGATGGATCTATGTAAATAAAGTTTGAATTTACAAAGCACTGTTTGTCATTCGTTGATGAACGAACCCACAATAACAACAGTATCATCCTATCAACAATATTCCTGTTGTTACACTACCCAATGCCTGACATTAAGGTCTCTTACTACTTAAGTCGATTGGATCACTTAGTTTCCAATCCCTGATGATAGGGTCTGAACAACATACGACTATTAGGTGAATTACTTTCCAATCCCTGACATTTAGGTCCCTACTACTTAATCCACACTATTTAAGACTATTAGGATCACTTACTTCCCAATCCCTGACATTAAGGTCCCCACCAAACACCACCGTCTCATCAGGCGCCGTGTTGGTCATCTCACGGAAGGCGATTCTAATTTGGTTCATTCTTTCTTCACTTCTGTCGAGCAGACTCTCCATGTGACTCGTCATCACTGTCATGGGAACACCCCGGACTCTGCCCTGAATACAGGCATTAGAGGGTTATTTCTACACGCCCGACCTTTTCATGTAATAAAAAGGTTACTTTTTGGATTCTAGGTCAGATGAAGTAGAGTCCACCTTTTTCTGTGACCCTGGCATGTACAGTAGCGTAGCTAGGGGGGGGGGGCGGGGGAGGCATATGTCCCCGGGCGCAGATCTTAGGGGGCGCCAAAATGGGTTGGAAAAATAAATTGAAAGGTTGAGGGGGGCAAATCGAAAGTTTGAGAGGGGGGGGGGCAAATCGAAAAGTTTGTCCCCGGGCGCCGGGAAGGGTCGCTACGCCTCTTGGCATGTATAAGAGATAGTGAGCGCAACAATACGCCCAGCCACGGTTACGTTCACTAGCATTAGTCAGGTACTCATCAGAGCTGGGTAGACTCAGGGACATTCTACAGACTCGAGCTCGGGATACAGACCCAAGACTTTCGGGTTAATTTGTTGCATTCTGACAACGCTGTCCCATTCGTGGACATCTGGAATTTGACCATGAGACCTCTTATTTTTGCCATTGATATATACTAAATTAAGACAAATGGTTGTTTCACTTTAAGATTTAAGTGCTAAAACCAAACGCGGCAAAATTAAATGAGGATGTAAAGTTACCTTAAAGTACAAAAGATTTCTCTTCATGCGAGTAGTCGGGAATAAGACGACACCTGGTGTGTGGACCTCAACAGTGTTCTTGTTGACTAGTATAGCAGTGTAGTAGCTAGCCTAAAAGATAATAGTATGGTCAGTCTAAATGATAAATGTTGACCAGTTTAGCCGTGTAGTAGCCAGCCTAAATGATAAATGTTGACCAGTATAGCGAGACAAAAGCCCTGGAGCGGGTAACTAATGGTAACCCATAGCATACTTACGTTAATATAAACACCATACACTACTTACAGTTATACCAATGTGTTCTCCACTGCCCACAAATATTTCATAATTAGTCATCTCTCTCCTTAAGATATCCAGGCTATGATCGACCACCTCTTGCAGTAAGATCACATCCGGGTTTTGTCTAAACAGAAATATTAGCTGTCATCTTCACCAGTTACAACTTGTTAAAAACTATAGCATTGACCATTAGGATAATAGACGTGTTTGTTGTTACCGTAACAATATTTGACAAGCGCCTTTAGTCCTTCGGGTCAGGTCAACTCCATAATCATCATCAGATTCATCCTCCTCCTCCTCATCGTCGTCTTCATCATCGTCATCATCCTCCTCCTCCTCCTCATCATCATGGTCTAAATTCATAAAGCGGGATATAAACTCGGCCGAAATAAAAGCGTCTAGACCTGCTATATTCCATGATACAATTTTTATATGTTCTACTGGGCTGTGGAAAAAAAAGTCTTTTCTTCAAAATATTCCTACGCAGAATACATTAAATAACAAATCCGTGATCACGCAACCATCCTAATATGTGCCCATGTGCGCACTTCTCTCTCTCTCTTCTCTCTCTCTCTCTCTCTCTCTCTCTCTCTCTCTCTCTGTCAGCAAAATATTTTCGCAGACTATCACATCAGAATCTTCAGCGATATATGGAGAACTTGATACGATATTTTGTTGAAAATAATATGGTAGATGTTTTAAATGTATAAACAAAATTTTATTTAAAAAAGAAAAATAAAAAATAAAGGCATATTCGAATGTATAAAAACAGTTTTAATTATGCAACCGGAAAAGGGTTTATAGTTGTGAAAGGAACACCGAAATCGATGACGTCACATGCTATTTGTTTGAAGTACGGAAAGTACACACAACCAAGGCGTCATCTTCCGATTTTAGAATACGAAGAAATGAACTATTTCATTAAAATTTGATTTAGATCTATAGATTTACTTATCGAAACGTAATTTATGAAATTTATACAATTTCCTCGGCCAAAACTAATACATCGTACTTTAAAAAACGACATAAATACCATTGAAAAGCCGGGCTTTTAACGGAGTCATTTAAGTCTTTTAATCAATGTGTACAGTTAATATGGTGTTGTGTTGACTAATTATGTATATAATTTGGTTTTATTTTTTCTAATAGGTAGTGGTAGCCTGTTTTTTTAAATGTGTCGGACTTTTAGCTATTTTTTTTTTTTGCTTTGTCACTAATATCGTTAAATCTGTAGTAAAGCACATTGCGTTTTGACCGATAACTATTTTATAAAATATTATTCTAAAAAATGTATACCATTAAAATATATATATAGACCGACCGATAATTCACGTGTAACGGGTATCAACGGCTAGTATGTCCATGTTTAGCAAAATTACTGAACGGAAATGTTTAAGTAAGAAAATTATAAAATTATTCTAATGCTAGATGAAATTTTGAAATAGCTTAATTTGGTTGCTCTAAATCAATCATTCTCAGGAGTTCAATGGAGGTCAAGACGCACACTAAACTCACATGATTGGCGATCGCATTGAATGCGTAGATGCGTGCTTTGAGGAACATACTTTTTGTTTCTATATCGAGGCCCAGTAGTTGATTTGTGACTATGGTGATGGTATGTGGCCTTTCTTTCCAAAAATAATAATATCTTCATACTATGCCAAGAAAAAAAAAGTTGCCTGACGAAATTGTACAATATGTATTCACATGTATAACGGAACTTGATGGGAGTCAGCAATGCCAAGTTAAGCAATTTTAGTCTAACACCAGCAAAACTAAGACAACTTCCTAAAAGTTGCATGGAGATTGAAAATACAAGAACAAAACGCTCGCTGAATGCAAGGTGAAGCCGCGCATTTTTGAACTGGTATCTGAAAGGTAACAACAGAAGTCACTCGGATTTGCGGTAGTTATTCATTACGAGCCGACCCACGGCGTAGCATACGCCGCATATTTAATTGTTTTATTTTCTACATTTTAGTAATACATATTTTGTGAATTCGACACCACCAATGCTGCGACTGAAAATATTTTGCTTTAAAACACTTTCAGTAGCTCGTGAAGGACGATTATCCTCCCCCTCCCTCCCCCCCCCCCCATCCCCCGTGAAAGCAGACGCCCGTGACGACAGTTTAGAGACCTCAATGAAAAGATCAAGCAGAAGTTGTTAGTTCCCAATCGTCTAACAAGCTAAATTATCTGCCCCTAATAGCCGTCGCTAATTCGACTTGGCTCTACGATTGTAAACATTCGGCGTGAACCACAGCTCGGCGGGCTGGTGGGGGTCGGGTGGGGGTGGTAGCGATATGGTCTGTTGCGCATGCCTGGAGAGCGATGGAGGGGAGGGAGGAGGTTTAGATAGTCGGCTTGCGTCGTGGTCCACGAAGAGAATTATATACGAGTTGACCCGCGACGTAGCGTACGCCGCTATTTAATTTAATTCCTATTTTTCACTAATTCATAATTTGTGAATTCGACACTACCCCCTCCCGCCCAGTGAAAGCAACCGTTTACAAAGAAAAGATCAATCAGAAATTGTTACCTTCCCTTCTTTTCAAATCGTTTAATACTAAATTATCTGCCCCTAATAGCCGTCATTTACCCGGCTCTAGGATTGTAAACATTCGGGGTGAACTACGGCTCACCTGACAGGTGGGGATGAGGGTGGTGGCTAAGATGCGTGGTGTTTTCTATGGTCTCCAAGAAGAGAAATTTATATATAGAATAGATAATTCTAAAAATATAGATTATGCTTTTGTTTTGTGTAAAATAGTGTTTTATTTATTATTTTTTTTCTTCTTTGAAATTTGTTATGTTGATAACCAGTTCATTTTGTGCACCAGTGAAATATTCTGAAATTTTAAAAATCGTATTTTATTTTTCCTAATAAGAAGGGTTCAGTGAGTGCGCTATGAAGCTGTGGTTTCAGCCCCTCCAAAAAGGTTAAGAACTACTGATCTAGATCTTTTACCATCGAACTGCAAGCAACTAAGACACCATCTTATGAAAACAAGAAATGATCGAATTCTACACAGACCTACCCGTTGGGCAGGGCTGATGCCGCGTCGTCATGGCTACCTATAGAGCCAGAAGACGAAGTAGGTTGGACATCCTGCTGACCTCTAGAACCAAATGATGACCTAGATTGTCCATCCTGTTGACCTCTGGAACCGTAGGGTGATCTAGAATGGCTATCCTGTTGACCTCTGGAATTATAAGATGATCTAGAATGGCTTTCCTGTTGACCTCTGGAATTATAAGATGATCTAGAATGGCTATCCTGTTGACCTCTGGAATTATAAGATGATCTAGAATGGCTATCCTGTTGACCTCTGGAATTATAAGATGACCTAGAATGGCCATCCTGTTGACCTCTGAATCCGTAGGGTGATCTAGAATGGTCATCCTGTTGACCTCTGGAATTATAAGATGATCTAGAATGGCTTTCCTGTTGACCTCTGGAATTATAAGATGATCTAGAATGGCTATCCTGTTGACCTCTGGAATTATAAGATGATCTAGAATGGCTATCCTGTTGACCTCTGGAATTATAAGATGACCTAGAATGGCCATCCTGTTGACCTCTGAATCCGTAGGGTGATCTAGAATGGTCATCCTGTTGACCTCTGGAATTATAAGATGATCTAGAATGGCTTTCCTGTTGACCTCTGGAATTATAAGATGACATAGAATGGCTATCCTGTTGACCTCTGGAATTATAAGATGACCTAGAATGGTCATCCTGTCGACCTCTAAAACCGTAGGGTGATCTAGAATGGCTATCCTGTTGACCTCTGGAATTATAAGACAACCTAGATTGGCCATCCCGATGACCTCTGGATGCACCGGAAGAGCTAGATTGGGCATCCTCTTGACTTCTGGAAGAAAAAAAATGCTCAATCAATCTCTATGGCTGATTTTTAAATTTTTTTTTTACTTTTACTCTAACGATTTTCTTTACTAAATTACTCCTCAGTTGTTTCCAAAATATAAATGTCAAAACAATATTCGTTGAATATAAATCAAATGAAAGCGGCAATAATCAATCTTAAAAGTTGACGCCGTTGTCGTCGGGCGACTTGCATTTAAAAAAAAAACCCACACACATTTTTAAAGTAATTATTTCCCTTTTCCTATTTAACTATTAAATATCATCATACGTACGATTAGTGTGGAATTTAAATAGATTTGTTAGTGTTGAAAAATCTGCTTACTACGAAGATTGTTAATAAAGAAATTTACTTTGAAAGGGTAATAAATATATGAGATATATTCGATATAAAAACACAATTTTAGTTAAAAAACGGAGTAGTTTCTCTGGATGTATCTAGTGCATTGACAGACTAAATTACCCAAATATAATTGTTAAATTTTTTTCGGAAAATTGTCGTTTGAATGCTTTTCCGGGAAGCGTCCCCATTTGATAAATCGTTCATTATAAAATAAAATATAATACGACCGTAGGGAAAGTTACTTTCGTGCATTTGCCGAGAGACACAAAAACATTGTTCGGCTTAAAGTTTTTTTACTTGCACTTTGTGGCTTGTCAATTTCAATTGTAAAAAATTACACTGATGGAAACACGTTCACAATCATAAATATATCCTTACAATCTAATGCACACACACACACACCTTCCTAATGGCATGCCCACACATTCCCACATTCACACACATACTCACCTTCACAATGCCAGGCACACACACGAATCCACAATAGTATGCACGCACATACACACATACCTTCATATTGACATTCACACACACACACACACCTTCACAGTGACATTCACACATACACAAACACCTTCACAATGGCATGTACACACACACACATTCATACATACATACAAACACACACACACACATACATACATACACCTACCTTTGAGTCTGGGTTGATCTCACGTCTTCCTGTGCGCCCCCAGTGACGTCAGAGGGTTCCATTTTTCACCTGTAGTGAAACTCGTAAAAGCTGTTTTGAAAACTTGCTTTAGTTTTCTACTCTACGAACTTAATTTAAACAAGCATTCATTTTTTATGTGTAGGCCCTATGCACTTTACTATTATATCAGCGGCGTAGCGAGGGGGGGGGGGCGGACCGCACCGGGTGACACCATTTAGGGGGGTGACACCAAGGCAAAAAATAGCAAAATATATAAAGAAAAACTTGATGGGGGGGGGGATGGGTGCAAATCGAAAGTTCGAGGGGGATGCAAATCGAAAATTTGAAAGTTTGTCCCCGGGAAGGGTCGCTACGCCTTTGGGGGGGGGGGGGGGGGGGGGGTGACACCATTAAGTGCCGCACCGGGTGACACCCGACCTCGCTACGCCACTGTATTATATAGATGTTTAAGTTTTAAATATAACAGTTTTATTTGTTAAATTGAATATAGATAGACCACCACAATCTTCCTAACTTTGCGAGGCGCTTTGTGATTCAC